TTTTTTTCTCATTCTCCCAATTTAGTCTACAACCCTAGAATTTCTTTAAACTCTCCAGGCCAGTATGTACCATAATTTTATCTTATTATTAAATTTATACACCACACATTCTCATCTAAGTAACTCACAATTTTAGTTTGCTACAACTGAAAAGATATAAAAAGTTTGATTGTAGAAATACTTTCCTTTTCATTTATGGATGGTGTTTAATTCATAGAAGTTTCTAATACCAGTTTATGACATGTGTGTTTAACTAAGATTCTGGTGAATTAAAAATGCTCTATGATTCTGTCTAAGTCATATTGTTATCCTGGCTTCATAGAACTTTTGTTTTTAATCATATAGGACTTATGCTTGGTTTGGTTTATTTCTTTAAAGAATCATGTTGTTTTTCTAGTTTGTTTAGCATTCTTGTGATAATAAAACTTGCCTTGTTCTAGGAAGAATCTGGCCTCTGAGTTAGATATATCATCATCTAAGTTTCAGCATCTTCAGTGGAACCCAAAGTTGGTCAAGATTTTTGACATTGCATGATTTTTTCCATGTTTTCCTAAGGCTTCAGAATTCATTTTTCATTGTTTGTATGACCTGCCTTTTCCTTGGACAACTCTAGCTCACTTACATGGGTTTTTCCCCTCATTTTGTCCCACTACAACACTGTGAGGGAAACTGAGCAGAGAGGAACTGGTCCAAATTCCAAGCTTCAAGTTCGGTAGTCAACCTGCCTCCAGAAGTGGTGAATGCTCCAACACTGGAAGTTTTTAAGAAGAGACTGGACAGCCATTGGTCTGAAATGGTATAGGGTTTCCTGCCTGAGCAGGGGGTTGGACTAGATGACCTCCAAGGTCCCTTCCAACTTCATCATCATCATCATCATCATCATCATCATTTGGATATTTTAATCTCTTGAATTCTAGACCAGTATATCAATCAATAAGCCAATCTTAAATCTTATTACCAGAATACTCATGGCCCTGATGTAGCACAGGGGTGGGTAATTAATTATGCACTCACCCCTTGCCTGGAGCAGCCTTTCTCAAGGAGTCACACTGAGACTGTGGTGGAGGGCCAAATCAATGTAACCTATTTTGATGTCCTCAAACTCCGTCACCTAAACTCTTCAGGCTGCTCCAGGCAATGGGCAGGCACAAAAAAGCATTGTCTTGCCTTGCCCTCCCTGATCCACCAGCCAGCTACATAGAGCCAGAGCCAACTCATGCCTCCTGTGATGTGCTTATTTAAATTTGATTTCTAATTTCTGAATAATGTCATGCAGCTGGGACAGGGACAGCCAAGGGCTGGATGAAGTCTAGGTGCCCTAAAACCCGCAGGTCTGATCTAGGATATACATGCTGTTGTAGTAAATAGGGTGAAGGGTTGAGTTAGCTGTTCTCCAGGATGCATTCCAATCTATAATTCTATAAGTGAACATCAACTTTTTCCCCTCCATATCCATTCATATTACCTGTACTGTTACTCTAGTCCAGAGAAAAAACTGTTTGATCAACAGTGCAATGAAATGTTGCAGAGGAGATCATCATTTTTCTAAGATATTTCTTTTGGGTGGAGAAATGACATTATACATACTCTGTACTTGATATGATTGTCTCAGAAGTTTTGTTTATCCATCACCTGTGGAGAATTAGGAGGATTATGCTTCTTAATCTAGCATTTGGTCTTCCTTTTTCTATTTGCTAAGAGAACGGAGCCTTCTTGAATTAAGATAATAAAATTGTGGGAAGCCAGATAATTTTTACACTTGAGATTTTAGGGCTTAGGGCTGGATTTTGCTAAACCCTGAATATTAAGTGATTGTGGGCTGTTTCATTGTGGCAAATAAAATAAAATAAAATAAATCCCTGTAAAATGAAGCAGATTGAACCAGGAAGGTTTTACAAGTTATGTGGTACTTGGGAATGTTGGAGAAAGGAAAATAAAATCTGTGTTGTCTTTCAACCAAATCTATATGGTGTAGTCTAAATTGACCGATGAGTTTTATTGAGCTGACCATCTGGAACATCAGTATTCCATGTAACTGAGTGAAATACAGATTTTTGTTTAGAACTGATAACAGTGCATCATTTCCAAGGAGGTCTGACCTCTTACTTCATCAAATCGTACTAGACATCTTAAAGTTTGGAAGTCCAAGCAAGTCTTCCTTCCTCTGAGACTTTAAGGGGATTGTAGCATCACTTAATATTCAGGGTTTAGCAAAATCCAGCCCTAAGCCCTAAAAACTCAAGTGGCTTCCCACAATTTTCAATTATTTCTAAATATTGTTCTCATTTATCTTTAATCCCCTTCATGCTTTATGACATGAATTTTATTCATTCTTATCCATTCTATTATTCTCTGACTTTTGCATTCCTGTTTTGCTTTTCAAAAGGGAAAGGATAGAGTACGGTACTTCTAAAGTAATTTGCCCATTAACATTTACCCATGGCAGAAAGAGGCCCAAGAATCTTTAATTTTCTGTCATGTTTGGTTGGTTATCACCAAGCAGACAAAAAGCCACGGCAGCTTTGCCATGAGTGCTAGCAGAGACATATTTGCAGTATCCAATTATTTCTTTAAAATCACAAAAATAGCACAACATTGTGAGTGCCACCCTTTTTAAAAAAAGTGTTTCAAAAGGAGCAGAGTTTGCCTTAGGATAGTGTCATACTTTCATTAGTTACTTCCTCTTGGTCACCTCTGAAGATATCTGTGGGTGCAATCTCTCTACTTCATTGATCCTTTATTTATTAGATTTTTATCCCACCTTTATTACTACATAAGTCACTCAGAGACGCAAATAAACATAATACTGCCAACTCTGCCAATTTTCCCCACAATGGTTTTGTGAGGTGAATTGAGCTAAGAGAGAGGTATTGGCCCACACTCAGTCTATGGCTAAGGGAGGATAGAATTGGTTTCTAGGCCAGCACTTTAACCTCTCCAGTAAAGTTTCAGATCTGATCTCTTCCTCAGAGATATGGATCAATGCGAATAACAGCTGAGCGCTGGTGGCTGGAACCATGAAGCAGGAGACCTCTTTCCCTACTGCTTTGTGACACAATATGCCTGGGACTGTCAGCTGTTGTTTGAGCTGCTTTTCAACATGGGTGTAGCACACTTTTGAAAGATCATAAGATTAAAATCATATCCAAAAGGATCCAGAGGAATAGCTCTGTTCCATACAAGTATTTTCTGCAGGTGTATTCAAAGAGAACCCAATAATCAGCTGATGTTAGACTTCTTTTGACATAGCTTTAGTAGTACTGCAGAATGTAGCCATTTGAGGATTGCATTAAGGCTTTCTTCAAATGAGTCCAACTATTAGTGGGAGAGGATGGGAGGGGAGGGGAGGGGAGAGGAGAGGAGAGGAGAGGAGAGGAGGGGAGAGGAGAGAAGAGAAGAGAAGAGAAGAGAAGAGAAGAGAAGAGAAGAGAAGAGAAGAGAAGAGAAGAGAAGAGAAGAGAAGAGAAGAGAAGAGAAATTAGAGAAAACTACTAGTCCCTTTCCTTAATGTCCATATAAGGACATCACCCTTGATTGGCATTGAGCCTAAGCAAGATAAGGATTCCCAGTGAAGGAGCTCTTTGATTTGGGAGGCCCTGAATTATTTCTGTGATTAAGTATATTACAAAGAAAAATATACATCTTTTTTTGCACCCCCACTTGCTGCAACGTTATAAAGCAGCACATCATTTGTAAATGGCTCAATCTGATTCATTTTGCAGGGATTCTTCTTTGTCCCAATGAGCTGCAAATCTGAAACAGCCCACAATCTCTTAATATTCAGGCTTTGGTAAAATCTGGTCCTAAAGCCTAAAAACACAAGTGTAGAAATTCTTTTGTTTCCCACAGTTTGATCATCTTAATCCAATCCATTCTCTTAGCAATTAGAAAACGGAAGACAAAATGCTGGATTAAGCTGTATAATCTTCCTAATTCTCCACAGGTGATGGATAAACAAAACTTCTGAGACAATCTTATCAAGTGCAGCGTATGTATGATGTCACTTCTTCACCCAAAAGCAATATCTAAGAAAGGTGAAGATCTCCTCAGCAACATTTTATTGCACTGTGGCTCATAAAGGGTTTTTTTTTCTGTAGACTAGACTAACATTAGAGATAATATCAAAGCACAACATAAATATGGAGGAGGGAAAATTGAGGTTCAGTCGTAAAATCATAGATTGGAAGGGATTCTGAAGACCAACTAATCCAACTTTTTACCCCGTTTTAGAATTTACTACTACAGCAACCACATGCATATCAATGCCATGAGTGTTTTAGTGATGGGATTAAATTGAAGATTGAGATGCTAAACTAGGATTAGAGAAACTCAAGCGCAAAAGAAGAAGGCTAGAGTTAGATTCAAGAGATCAGATGACTTGACTTACCAGATGGAGTACTACATGACTAAACACTTGCTTGAATATGGCTAAAAAAATAGATAATTTTTGGATATAAATGGGTCCTATAGTAAGAGGGATGTGATTTATAAGTAGCACTGTATAGCATTTTTTTCTTTTGTGAGATGAGAAATATAAAAATACTGGGATGGCTTACGTGAACAAAACGTCTGGACATTTAAATGTAATTATTTTTAAGAAAATTATAATTGACAAGAATGTTTTGAATATTGAGGGGAAATTAAGCTTAAATAAGAACTTCAAAAACAGGGCCTATAGTGATTTAATAAAATAACTCTTCACAAATACAACTGAAACATAAGCTTATTAGAAAAGATGTTATACACTGATGTTGATGTTATTTGTATAAACACTAGAAAATGTTTTCAATCAACTTTGTATGTATCGAAAATACTAAGAATTGTACTTACTCCATGTTGGCAAAAGGAAATTATTATTGGAAGAAGAGAAGATCAAGAAAATGCATTACTAGCTAGTATGTTGATTATGGAATCATATAAATTAACTATTATTGATTGTTGTTAAACATATGAACCCAGACAACACATTGTTTATCAAACACTAAAGATTGATATTGTAAAAAATTAATAAAATATATATATTTTTTAAAAAGAAAGCGCTCCAGAGGGTCATTACCATTGCCCAGAGGATTATTGGCTGCTCTCTCCTCCCCCTCCCCTGGACAAACTGTACAGTTCCCGTTGTCTTAAGAAAGCTCAAAATATTCTTAAAGACTCATCTCATCCTGAACATTCTTTTTTTGAACTATTACCATCTGGCAGACGGTACAGTATAATAAAAACAAAGAGAAATAGGCTGAAAAATAGTTTTTATCCCAGAGCTATATAACCATATTAAATACCACTGTATACTGCAACATTGAAGTGCAATATCAGGGGCAGCACAATGGTGAATAGAATGTGAAGGATGTGTGTATATAATATATGTTCTTATTTGTGGCTTTTACTTGTGTGTAGTGTGCACTGTGGACAGCACTTAATTTCGTTGTGAGTTACACAATGACAATAAAGATATTCTATTCTATTCTATTCTATTCTATTCTATTCTATTCTCAATTCCCCACTTGACTACAGAGTTTACAGAGTGAATATGAGCCAATTACTCTCAGATCAGTTTCCCTCACAGTGTTGTTATGGGAAAAATGAGGAGAAAACCCCATGTAAGTGAGCTAGAGTCGTCTGAGGAAAAGCAGGTCATACATGCAACAAAAGATGAATTCTGAAGCAGAGCTCACGTAATTGGGGACATTATGCAATGTCAAAAATCTTGGCCAACTGTGGTGTCCAATGAAGAAATGGATGATACTCTGAGTCAGAGGATGGATTCTTCCTCAGACAAGGCAAGTAAAAAGGGAGAATTTATAATCATAAGAATACCAAACAATCCAGAAAAACAGCCTGATATTCTAAAGAAAAAGCCAAGATAAGCGCAAGCACTAATATACAGCATTCACTCATTTTTTAAGTTAAGCCAAACCACTTGCTCAGCTTAATGAGGAATTAAAGCCTTAGTTCCTTGATCTTCAACATTTGTGACTTACCTGGTGGATCACAGCTCCAGGACTTTAACTAAATAGGCCTCTTTGTGTGAACCAGACTTGCAGGTTTACACTTCTCAAAATGAGACACAACAGGGGAACAAAGTGATAATAAAGAACAAACAGATGATGAAGACTAGAATGGGGCAGAGAAACCACAGTTGTTATTTAGATTTTCTAGGAGTGTTGTGGAAAGAGGGATGTATCCATAACTAGGCATTTACTTTTTTCCCAGTGAAATTGGTTTTCTATCTTTGATTGTTGTATATAACTTTGTTCAAAATCTGTATATGTTTTTCTGTTCTTTTTATAAAGGGAAATTGGAATTTTGGACTTTTGAGGAATAAACAGAATGATTTATTTATAAACTTTATATGCCACATTTTCATTACTCTGTAAAAAAAAAAGAACAAAGTAATCCCATATGGGGATTGTTGTCTAGAGAGGAGGATGTTGATGATGTTATCCGTTCAAGTGAGTCTAACTCTTGGGAATCCTTTATGGGCCAGGTCTCTCCACATCTGACTATCTTGCACTGCTTCTTTGAGTTTCTCTAAGCTCTGGCTGATGTCCGCTTTGATGGGGTCCAGCCATCGTGTTCTTTGGCCACTCTATTTATTTTCCTCGTATCATGTTCTGAATAATATATCTAATATATCTCTGTACAATTGCTTACCCAGCAATTGGGTTTCCTCTTGTCCTATCATTGGGCACCTTATACTGTTTGAGACATTTACCATAGAATTTTCTTGGTGAGCATTTTGTGGATTGGTTGCCTGGAGCTCACTTTATGACAGCTCCCAGGGACAGCAACTGCCTTGTCCAACTTTGCCACAAAACCATCTTCTGGAAACCACAAAAGATTTCAAAATAGAGCACTTTTGAAGATTATTACGTGCGTATTTGCAAGAGATCAGAGCGAAAATCTTCTAAGCAGAGAAGATGTGTGGTTAGATGATCTACCTAACTCCAGGAAGTTTCAGAGAGTATATAAGCATTGCCACTTCACCTCAGAAGATCACTCAGAGAGAGTAGGACGAAAACTGCATCGCAAAGAAAAGGTAAGTCAAAATACATTTGTTTTAATGCTACCTCCGCTATTATTTGGCAAACAGATTTACTGATATGAAGAGCTGCAAAAATATTAGCTTGTGAATTTCGATCGCTTTGAGATATTTAACTTTTTCATTGAAATCAATTTACTTATAGCTACTTTGCACCACAATTTTTTATATTGCACTGCTTCTTCTAATATTTTGGTCATCTCGTATAAGAAACACATTATTCATTTTAAAGTGATCAAATAGTCAGCCACGGTTTTAGAAGAGCAAAAGTTCCATGTATGGGAAGGATTTATTCCTTCACATTTACATTCCAAGTTCATAATGTCAGACATATCATCTGAGGAGAGTAGTGCTTATTTCTATTTATATTTTAACTCTTCTTTTTACCATGATGAGTAAAGAGGAGCATTCAATTGTTTACATAAAATAGTAATTTTTCTATTAATAGCTTATTTTCAATGCTCATAGTCAGATAAAGCTTGGGTATTAAGCAATCAGTCGCTGAGGCACCCATGCTCTTCTCTGTCTGTTAGAAAGTCAATTGTTTTCTCATGAAGCAAGAGGATCCATATTCTGAATGCAGCCACTGAGAGGGTTTTGCCCAAAAGCTTTAGAAGGGTGTAATCTCAAAACTGTAAAGCATCCACATTGTTCAAGATCATTAATGTCTCCAGTGCCTCTTTTTCTTAAATATAAATCAGGAAATTCAGTTCAGACTCTGATACAGCCAATGGGAGGGATGAATGTTTACATTTGCTTTTAAAATAATTAGCATGTTTTCCAGAGAACACTGAAGACTTTTTTATCATTGATATTTATTAGAAATCAACACATGATTATTTCACTTTCTTAAACACAATTGGATAGAGCCATGACATCTGGGAAGCAAAATTCCAGATGTCCATCCCATGGTAGGAGAGAGTTCGAATAGTCATTTGGAGACCAACATTTTTTTCTTGAGTAGCATGAATTTACTTGGCTTTCAGTTAACTGTTAATAACTAATAAATAATTCCTCTTACAGGTTTATCCAACAAAATGAAGATTGTGATTGTTCTTGCTTGTCTTTTGGGCATCATTGCTCCTTTTGAGGTACTGTACCCATATTACCTATTGTGATTGTATGTCAGAAGTAGGTAGCATTCATTTACTGCTTGAAAAAAAATAACTGCAAAGTTTTGGAGAGTCAGGAGGTCATGTGCTGCTAATGGAATGGGTTGGGCAGAACATTCATTTTCTCAAGATTCTTGTTTGAAGGTTCAGTGAGGGAAGTCAGCATTATGACCCCACACTGCAAATAGAGGCAGGGATGGAGGAATCCGAGAGACAGAGAGAGAGGGAAAGAGAAGAAATGTTCAGTCCATGTAGGGAGTTCATAGCCTGCAGAGACTTCAACCAGATCCTCCTGCTCATTACCATGGAGCAGTGTTTCCCAACTTTGACAACTTTAAGATGCGTGTGGCATGCCTTGCTAAGGAATTCTAGGAGTTGAAATCCACAAATCTTACAATTGCCAGGGTGGGATAACACTGATATATACAGCAGAGGTTTCAAAGTAAAAAAATTCCAAAGGTGGATTTGGGTCAATGTCACTAAGTTTTGGAGGGCAACAGCCTGTGAGGGGAGGTCAGCTTCTACAATCCCATGAACTACTAAACAAACTTAAAACTGGGGACCCGATTTTCCATATGGACTTCCAGATAAATGGCTAAAGGGAAGGAAAACTCTTGCTTGGTGCTCTTGTGATGGGCTGCAATCTTTGCTGATGGCTGGCTTGATTTGACTTGGGGAATCAGTTCTGTAAATAGTGCTGGTGATGGGCTGATTTCATAAAAAACAGTTATCACAAATAGTGAAATATTGTAAAATGATTATATCTACAACTTCTGGTCTCATTTTTCTCATTTTACTCTACTTTTTCCTCATTTTTCTCCTTCTCTTCCAGGCCCTCCCTACAGAAATTGAAATTAGTGAACCACAGCCATACCCATTTCATCCATCACATCCAAGCTACCCAACTCAGGGAGATGCACCTCAAAACCCACCTTTAAATCCCGGATTTCACTGTCCAAAGGAGATAGTTGACCCTATAATAAAGGCTTTACTAGAACTAGCATGTAATGGTCCTGCTGGGCCTCCCGGACCCCCAGGGCCTCCTGGACCCCCAGGGCCTCCAGGGCCTGAGGAGCCCATAGATTTTGACCATCACCCTTGGCCCATTGATCCTGAGAGCTTCCCATGGCCCATGAGTCCTGAGAGCATCCCACCACTCATGAGTCCTGAGAGCATCCCACCACCTATGAGTCCTGAAGGCCCTATGGAGACCATGAGTCCTGAAAGCCACCCCCAAGGCACGTGGCCTCCTGTGGAAAACATGTAGACTGGAGGCAAAAACCTGTTTTGTTGATTGGTAAGTCCTGTTGAGACATTTCACATCAGAAGAATATGCTTGTGGGCTACTCATACTACTATTCCAAGATGACCGATTTTATCCTTCCCGAAGAACAAAAAAGCTATTTTGGGGGGGGGGCTGTGGGATGGGTAGATCTAACTTATGAAATAGGCAGGCAAGCCTAGTCTAGTCATAAAGTTCTGAAATAATGCCTGATAATCTTTTTTTTTTGTAGATTTTGTTGAGATGCAAGATACTTAGAAGATATCTTTTTCTTTCTGGAACAGCTGATGAATGCCCCTGATTTAGACTGACTTTTTAAAGCTTTGCAATGTATTCCTTTAAATAAATTTGACCAGCAATATATTTCTTCTTCTATATTTTTATTTATATTTGTGCAAATGTCAATGAGGATTTGTTTGTTTACAAATCATATGGGAAACAATTGCCAAAGACTGGCCTTTGGAGCTGGGTGGAAAGGACAATTGGCCACAGTCACCTTCCCCTGCCTGCTTCACCCCAGCCCTCCTGCCCCAGCCAACCCTCCGCAGGTGTTCATTCCTGGCTGCCCCTCCTCCATCTCTCTTCCCCCACCACACCTCAACTTCCATGTCATCCCCAAGAGATTGGCTGTGAGACAAATCATCGCAGCCAATTCACCATTTGGGACAATTAGCTGCGTGTCCCGGTAGGCAATGTGCATGCCGAAGAGAGGGCCTCTGCCTTCCCATTTGAAGCAGCATGCAGAGGAGGTGCTGAATGAGGTGAGCAGAGGCCTCCTCATTGGGCTTTTTCAAAAGGCTGTGTGCTAGGAGGCGAGGGACATGGCAGTTGCTGTGGAGGGAAACTAGGCTGCTCTCTCCCCTCTCCCATCAAGTAGGCCTTCCTAGGGGCAGCACAGCAGTCTGCCACCCTGAAAAGCGAGGGCAATGGGCTCCACCCTGCCTCACCATGCCCACCACCTGCCCACTGTCACGCCATCACCTTGGACACGGAGGGGAGAGTCTGCCCTGTGCAGTGATTCGCTCGACTGCTACCTTGGCCAGGACAAGTGGCAGTGCTATAGTCCAGTACTGGGCAGAGCTCAGTTGCACGGCAGGCCGGCCTGTCAGCCAGCTGGCCTGCTAGCGGCAGAAAGGAAAAGAAAATCCTTTCCCTTGGGCCTCTGCCTGGCATGGAGTGGAAGTGGTAGCATCACTGAGGAGCACAGCTCAGGACTTTGGTCGGACCCCTCCGGCCCGGCCATGTCTCTTTGGATGGCCTGGGGCAGTTGGGCTCCACAGACCCTCTGTGACAGGCCCCCTTCTTGTGCTGACCAAGATGAGATGAGCTTTACTGAAGCTGGCAAGGCCAATCAGGATGGCTACACACCCCCTTGCGGTGGCCTAGCCAGGCTGAATTCTGCCTAGCTGGAAAGGCAAATCAGGGCAACTGAAAATAGGCAGCTGGACTACAGCATCTCTCACAGGGAAGCCCCTCAGGTGCCCCTGAGAGACAGCTGGCAGGCAGTGAGTGGGTGTCTTTATCCCTTGAGGCGGCTTCAGCAATGCCTCTGTACTTGCTAACAGCAAGAGGGAGGACTGCTCGTAACTCTTGTTTCTTCAAATAAGTGACTTTCCAAGGAAGAAGAGAAAAACCTGCTAAACAACTCACTTCCATGGGTGGAGACTTCCTCTGGGCAGGTACTGCAAACAGTTTCAAGCAGACCCACTTTGCTCCTCATTCGCCACCTCAGAAACAACGAAAGGATGTGGGGGGGGAGAGATTTTTAGTGTAGAGCAGGAATCCAACCTGGGATAAAAGCGTAGAAGATTCCAAGCCTCTTGAAACCTGAGGGGACCACCCCATCTGCTGCATCCTGCCAAAACATGGAGCCCTCCACACATGCTGAATTAAAGCCCCCATGGTCCACAGCCGGGATGGGCACTGCAGTCCAGCAGGCCTAGAGGTCTAGGCTAAGCTGCTCTATCTTTTTTGAAGCCCCTGGAAAATTTTCTCCTTCTGTGAATTAAGCAATATTTCTTTGTCAAGCAATAAAAATGGGATTTTTCACCCAGGTGTTGGGCATCATTTCTCAAGATACCTTTAGGATTATTCCATAAACCAGATGTGTCAAACTCGCAACGTCATATGACGTCGCACAACATATCGGGACTGTTTTGCCATTGCTGGCAATGGGGTGGGCGCAGCTTCCACGTGACGTGTCTGGCCCACGGGCTGGCAGTTTGACACCCCTGCCATAAACCATGCTTTTAAATATCTTAAGTATGCAGGATGTGTGAACCAGGTCTGCTCTGTCTGCTGCAAGCTCGCCTGACCAATAACCAGCCAAGACACAGTGAAGGCCTTTTGTTTCGTTTATTGCAATAAGCAGGGAGAGAAGCTATCAAAGTTTGGTTCTCTCCAAAGTTCCAACCCAAAATATTCCCTTCTTTATATAACCCTGTCCTGGCTACCACATCCATCCTCGTTCCTCATTGGCTGAGGTACTATGAGGTTACACTCTTTCCAACCACCTCCTACATATTTCCTGCTACATACTAAATCATACATCACATGTACATTAAAATTAAGAGATAATTTACACAAGGTGTGTCAGTTAATATTCATCAGTTAATTGTTTTGAGTTCTGGGCCTCTTTTTATGACTTCTTAGAACAATAGGTTCTTTCCTGTTTTTCAGTTTAATCTGCCTTTCCTGTTATCTCATTCGGCCAGTTTTCCTGTTATCCCATTCAGTTAATTTTCCTGGGCTAGCTATTTCCTCTTGCAACTGCTTTACAGCTTGTGTTCTTCCTTTTCCCACTCTTGAAGACCCAAATAATTTTTGCCTATGGATTTATCTTACATCTTCCCTTTATGCTACCCTTTCCTGATTCCCCACTCTAGTTTCTTTGGCAGGCTTCTTTCTCCACTCAGTTTCCACTACACCGCAGATTCAATTTTAATTTTTTTATTTCACCATTAAATTTTGAAGACTTTTCATTTACTTTTGTCACCATTGCTTTTCCCTTTTAGTCAGGAAATTTCTCAGTCTTGGTTTTACCTTCCACCTTCCTTGTATTATTACAGGCAGGGAAAGTTTCCTGGGAAAAAAACTTGATCCTAGTTTCCTGCTCCCCGATCAGAAATTTCTTCATTCACCTTGCTCTGCCTCAAATAGATACACTATTTTTTGGAGTTTGGTTAACAAACCAAAGTGTGCAGACAACCCCCCCCTCCCCGAGATACAGTCATAAAATTTTAACCTCCTGCTGGAGCCGGTGGCTCTCCTGGCAGGAGCCTTTGCACATCGACAGTGATGGACAAGTGATTCGGCATCCAGCAAGGCAGGTTCAACGCATCCTTTTGAAATGTCACAGCAGGAATCAATTTCACCTAACAGCAAGTCCAGAAAAATACCGGGTAAGGGGAGGTGGATCATACATGGCCAAACCACAAGCATCTACCCTACCAGCTAAAGGCTGTTTATTGCAAGCAGGAGATTTATGGACATGCAAAGGCAGCCTTGATTTTCCAGGACGTAGTGCAGATTTTCAAAGAGAAGGGAGGCTCCGCTTTCCGGCTCAAAATTGAATAAGCGCAACAAGAGAGGAAAATAAAATCCTCTCTCCATGTTTTACAGCAGACAGAGCAGACCTGGTTCACACATCCTGCATACTTAAGCTCTTTAAAACCATGGTTTATGGAATAATCCTAAAGCTACCTTGAGAAATGATGCCCAACACCTGGGTGAAAGATCCCACACATGGCCAGGCCAGAGGGGTGGCAGGCAAGCCCTGGGCTGCACCCTCGGTGACTCTGACCCCTCCTCTCTATGCCAGGTGAGTGCGCAGGGGAAGGGACTCTCTCTACCTATCCACTCACCACTCTGCCCAGCACGGCACTGGACTGCAGCACTGCCACTGGTCCTGGGCAAGGCAGCGGCTGAGCGAATATGCTCTGCAGGGCAGACACTCTCCTCCTAGTCCCAGGTGATGGTGTGGCAGTGGGCAGCCAGAGAGCATGGCAAGGCAGGATGAAGCCCATTGCCCTCCATTTTCAGAGTGGCAAGGCACTGCACCACCACCAGGAAGGTGTGCCTGGCAGGGAGGAGTGGCCTGATTGCCATACACAGCAACCGCTGTGTCCCCTGCCTCCTGGTGCACAGCATTTTGAAAAAGCTCAATGCCCGAGATGGCTGCCACCCAGAATCCTCTCTGCATGCTGCATCCAATGGAAAGGCAGAGGCCTAGTGCTCAGTGCATGGGATGTAAGCGAATTATCCAACATGGCAAATTGGTCATGGCAATTTGTCCCACAGCCAATTTTCAAGGGTGATATGGAAGAGGAGGAGTGATTGAGATAAATGGCAGGGGAAGAGCAATAGAGGAGGGGCAACCAGGGATGAACACGCGCAAAGGGTCAGCTGGGGTGGGGAGGGCTGGGGTGAAGCAAGCAGGGCCAGACACCTGTGCCCGATTGTCTATTGCGCCCAGCTCCAAAGGCCAGTCTTTGGTAATTGTTTCCCAGCTGATTTGTAAACAAACACATCCTCACTGACATTTGCATAAATATAAATAAAAATGTAGAAGAAGAAATGTGAGGCTGGTCAAATTTATTTAAAGGAATGCATTACACAGCTTTAAAAAGTCAGTCTGAATCAGGGTCATTCATTCAGCTGTTCCAGAAAGAAAAAGATATCTTCTAGGTATCTTGCATCTCAACAAAATCTACACACACAAACACACAAAAAAAAAAGATTATCAGGCATTATTTCAGAACTTTATGACTAGACTAAGTGTTGGCTGCCTATTTCATAAGTTAGATCCACCCAGGAGTTACCCCTTGAGTGACAGAGTATCAATAATGCTACAGAGGATCAATTATGTTGTTTGGCTCTTAGCAGCCTTTCTAACTTACACTTACTCCCCATTCTCCATGGGTTCAACATGCCTGGAAGATGTTGTATGGAGGAAAGCAGATTTAGACCCTCACTCAAAAGGTAACTCCTTCTTTTTCTCCATTTCTCCTGTTTGATTCAGAACTTCAAGGCAAGGGACTAAGGATCGGGCAAATAGCCCACTCTGCTCACAGCCACAGGACACAATGATCAGTGGCCGTGTAGCATCTTCTCTATTTACCAGCAAGGGAGGATAAGATTTTTCCCAATGTCAGATTCTGATTGTTATTTTGGTCTCCCATTGTCCAACTGATGGACCTCCTTGACATTTTCATTTTCTGAAGCTCATTCACAGAAACATGTTCCATCTACTTGATCCATTGGATGAGGGCCAAGGAAATATGAACCCAAAGTGCACCATGAGAAGTAATTCAAGTCCTCAGTGTACTTCATTTCCTTAGGCCTTTTGAAAATCTTTTGCTTTG